ACACATCTAGACATATAACGTGTTAGTATGTAACAAACACATCTAGACGTATAACGTGTTAGTATGTAACAAACACATCTAGACATAACGTGTTAGTATGTAACAAACACATCTAGACATATAACGTGTTACTATGTAACAAACACATCCAGACATAAAAACGTTGTTAGTATGTAACAAACACATCTAGACATAAAACGTGTTAGTATGTAACAAACACATCTAGACATAAAACGTGTTACTATGTAACAAACACATCCAGACATAAACATGTTAGTATGTAACAAACACATCTAGACATAAAAACATGTTAGTATGTAACAAAACACATCTAGACATATAACGTGTTTACTATGTAACAAACACATCTAGACATATAACGTGTTAGTATGTAACAAACACATCCAGACATAAAACGTGTTACTATGTAACAAACACATCTAGACATAAAACGTGTTACTATGTAACAAACACATCTAGACATATAACGTGTTTAGTATGTAACAAACACATCTAGACGTATAACGTCTTAGTATGTAACAAACACATCTAGACATATAACGTGTTAGTATTATGTAACAAACACATCTAGACATATAACGTGTTACTATGTAACAAACACATCCAGACATAAAACGTGTTAGTATGTAACAAACACATCTAGACATATAACGTGTTAGTATGTAACAAACACATCTAGACATAAAACGTGTTAGTATGTAACAAACACATCTAGACATAAAACGTGTTACTATGTAACAAACACATCCAGACCGTAAAAAACATGTTAGTATGTAACAAACACATCTAGACATAAAACGTGTTACTATGTAACAAACACATCCAGACATAAAACATGTTAGTATGTAACAAACACATCTAGACATAAAACGTGTTACTATGTAACAAACACATCTAGACATAAAACATGTTAGTATGTAACAAACACATCTAGACATAAAAACGTGTTACTATGTAACACAAACACATCTAGACATATAACGTGTTAGTATGTAACAAACACATCTAGACGTATAAAACGTGTTAGTATGTAACAAACACATCTAGACATATAACGTGTTAGTATGTAACAAAAACACATCTAGACGTATATAACGTGTTAGTATGTAACAAACACATCTAGACGTATAACGTGTTAGTATGTAACAAACACATCCAGACGTATAACGTGTTAGTATGTAACAAACACATCCAGACATAAAACGTGTTAGTATGTAACAAACACATCTAGACATATAACGTGTTAGTATGTAACAAACACATCTAGGACATATAACGTGTTACTATGTAACAAACACATCCAGACATATAACGTGTTACTATGTAACAAACACATCTAGACATATAACGTGTTACTATGTAACAAACCATCACAACGTATAGAAAGTGTTTATGTGTAACAGACATAAAAATCAGAAAAGTTTGCAAAACAACAAATGAATTATTCCAGAACAAGCAGAGAAGAGCAAAGTCAAAACGTCTTTATGGCGACTCAGGGTCAGGTCACACGACATGCATTTCAGTTGCTTTTCTTCTGCATCCAAAACGCACAGAAAGTTGGCGATATGTTTGTCAGTGTCATAGTTCACACCAGGGCGGTCAGTTCCAGTGCGTTCCGGGTGCAGAAAAAAAAAAATCAGAACTGACTGCATTTTTTCTGCAACCGGAACACACTGGAACTGACCGCCCTGGTGTGAACTATGACACTGACAAACATATCGCCGAATTTTCTGTGCGTTTTGGATTGCAGAAGAAAAGCAACTGAAATGCATGTCGTGTGACCTGACCCTGAAGTCTAATAAACCAAAAACGCAACGTTTTGCATCTAAAAAAGTCGCTGACCCTTTCCAATGCCATCGTTCACATCAGTGCGGTCAGTTCCCAGAGCGTTCCAGTTCCAGAAAAAAAAAAAATAATAGTACAGGCTGCATTTTTTTTGCATGAACTGTACTGGAACGCTGTTAATACGCATCAAAAAGCAGTGGAACACACATCCTTATTTATAGATGAAAGGAAAGAGAGGGGGATAAAATTAACCAGAAGTCATAAAAATGCATCAAAATGCACCAGACATACATCCAAACGTGTAAAAAAAAATGCATTCACAAAGGTGAATAAATGAAAATAATAATAAATTAATAAATGAATAATAATAATATTAATAATAAATGAATAATAACAATAAATAAATATTAAATTCGACAATATTAATAATAAATAAATAATAATAATAAATGAATTTTAAAAAAACAATATTAAATAATAAATAATAATAAACAATAAACAATAAATGAAAATGAAAAAAATATAAAAATAAATGAATAATAATAACAAATAAATGAATATTAAAAATAACAATATTAATAATAAATGAATAATAATAATAACAAATGAATATTAAAATAAACAATATTAATAATAAATGAATAATAATAATAACAAATGAATATTAAAATAACAATATTAATAATAAAATGAATAATAATAATAACAATAAATGAATATTAAAATAACAATATTAATAATAAATGAATAATAATAAATGAAAAGAATTTAAAATAATATTAATAATAAATGGAATAATAATAACAATAAATGAATTTTAAAATAAAAATATTAATAATAAATGAATAAAAATAATAACAATAAATGAATTTTTAAAATAAGCCACATTTTCTAAATTAAATGAATAATAATAATAAAAAATTAAATTAATTATTAATCGTAAACAATTATTAATAATAAATGATTAATATTAATATTAAAATAACCAAGTATTAATAATAAATGAATAATAATAATAATAAATGAATAAATAGGAAGTGTAAAATAAAATTCACAAGTAAATAAAAGTAATCATAAATAGGGCAATAATTAATCCCCTAACCCTTAAACAATCTATTTATTTATTTCAGGTATATATATAGCGCCGTCAATTTACGGCAGCACTTTACATATATATTATACATTCACATCAGTCCCTAACCCTCAAATTCGGGGTGTACAATCTAAGGTCCCTAACCCTCAAGGGGTTGTACAATCTAAGGTCCCTAACCCTCAAGGGGTGTACAATCTAAGGTCCCTAATCACTCCCTCAAGGGGTGTACAATCTAAGGTCCCTAACCCTCAAGGGGTGTTGTACAATCTAAGGTCCCTAACCCTCAAGGGGTGTACAATCTAAGGTCCCTTACCCTCAAGGGTGTACAATCTAAGGTCCCTGGACCCTCAAGGGGTGTACAATCTAAGGTCCCTAACCCTCAAGGGGTGTGTACAATCTAAGCTCCCTAACCCTCAAGGGGATACAATCTAAGGTCCCTAGCCCTCAAGGGGCGTCGTACAATCTAAGCTCCCTAACCCTCGAGGGGTGTACAATCTAAGCTCCCTACTCACATTCATACACATATTAGGGACAATTTAGACAGGAGCCATTTCACCATACCAGAATGTCTTTGGAGTGTGGGAGGGGAAACTGGTTAGTACCGGGAGGAAGCCCACGCAGGCACAGGTGGGAGAACAATGGTAACTCAGGCAGGTGATGGCGTGGTTGGGATTTGAACAACGATGTCGACTACTGCCAGGTGGAAGTGCTAACCACCAGTACCACTGTGTGCCCAATGGATACATTTTCTTACATTTGAGCAGAAAATCACTCAAAACCGCGCGTTTTGTAAAGCATGCAAAAAACGTGCCAATCGTGCGTTTATTATTCTTTTCTATGGGAATAAAAATGTGTCAACATCTGTCCAATTTGAGCTAAAAAAAACTTTTTTTGAGCTTCAGGCGACCTGGAGCGACTGGAGCGGAGATGTGAACGGTCTCCATAGAAGAATATTTTTTTTTCCCCTGATCGTTTTTCAGCTTCGCGCTTGACAAAACGCTCAGGTAGTGAATGAGACTGTAAGAGAACTGCTGCACGGCTCTTTTATTGATGATGGATTCGAGATTAATCAATGTATCATACAAAATCCTCCCACAAATGCCGGCCATTGATTGCAAACAAGATTTGTTCATTTTCGCTCACAAAAAAGTAAAGTCAGTAGGGCAGTGGATGGTGTCAGTAGAGCAGTGGACGGTGTCAGTAGGACAGTGGACGGTGTCTGTAGGACAGTGGACGGTGTCTGTAGGGCAGTGGACGGTGTCAGTAGAGCAGTGGACGGTGTCAGTAGAGCAGTGGACGGTGTCAGTAGAGCAGTGGACGGTGTCAGTAGACCAGTGGACGGTGTCAGTAGAGCAGTGGACGGTGTCAGTAGACCAGTGGACGGTGTCAGTAGACCAGTGGACGGTGTCAGTAGACAGTGGACGGTGTCAGTAGACCAGTGGACGGTGTCAGTAGACAGTGGACGGTGTCAGTAGACCAGTGGACGGTGTCATGTAGACCAGTGGACGGTGTCAGTAGACCAGTGGACGGTGTCAGTAGACCAGTGGACGGTGTCAGTAGACCAGTGGACGGTGTCAGTAGACCAGTGGACGGTGTCAGTAGAGCAGAGGATGCTGTCATTAGTTTTGTAATATTTTTTACAATTTTATTTTTATTCCAGTGTTTTTGGAGCCTCCTTGGTGGGCTTTGGTGAAATGTCAGGGGCCTAAACAGACCCCTGATGTCTCAGTTTTAAGACAGAGAAAAGGACTGAGACAGAGATTCCCCGGTCTCTTTCTCTGCAGCCTTAGCTGCACTGGTCAGCGAATGAATGGGAAGCGCTCAGAGGCTTCCTGTTTATTCACAATCTGAAGCATAGTAAATACAGTTTACTATGCTTCAGTTACGAATGAACACCGTGGGTGATTGGCACCAATCACTCCCTGTGTTCACTCAGAAAAGGAGGAGGGCGGTAAATGACACATTTATCAGCCCCATCCCCTCTCTCCATCCTGAAATGGGAGGCACAGTCCAGCCCAAAACCTTACTGCCACATTTTGCAGCAAGTGTAAAGGAGGTCTAAAAGCCACAGACCTGTAAATGTATTTTTTGTGTTTCTGTAGACGACATCCAGAGGTTCCGCCGTCAGCTGTCTGTCTATGACGATCCATCACTGAGGAGGATATACGAGTATTACAGAGATGATCTGATCTACATCCTGGAGAACATGGACACCGGGCTCCTCCTGAAGGAACTCAGATCTCGGAATGTCTTCAGCACAGATGTAAGACAAAAATATTTTGAAATGAAATGCAATATAGAGCATGTCTGTGTCAGAGAAAACTGCATTATATTTGCTGCTAAAGTTATGTGCAGATCTTGACTTTTTCTCATTGGTGTCAGTGGGAAGAATAGTGCTCCATCATTGGTGTCAGTGGGAGGAATAGTGCCCCATCATTGTGTCAGTGGGAGGAATAGTGCTCCATCATTGGTGTCAGTGGGAGGAATAGTGTCCCATCATTGGTGTCAGTGGGAGGAATAGTGCCCCATCATTGGTATCGGTGGGAGGAATAGTGCCCCATCATTGGTGTCAGTGGGAGGAATAGTGCCCCATCATTGGTGTCAGTGGGAAGAATAGTGCTCCATCATTGGTGTCAGTGGGAGGAATAGTGCCCCGTCATTGGTATCAGTGGGGGGAATAGTGCCCCATCATTGGTGTCAGTAGGGGGAATAGTGCCCCATCATTGGTATCAGTGGGATGAATAGTGCCCCGTCATTGGTATCAGTGGGAGGAATAGTGCCCCATCATTGGTGTCAGTGGGAGGAATAGTGCCCCGTCATTGGTATCAGAGGGAGGAATAGTGCCCCATCGTTGGTGTCAGTGGGAGGAATAGTGCTCCATCGTTGGTGTCAGTGAGAGGAATAGTGCCCCATCGTTGGTGTCAGTGGGAGGAATAGTGCCCCATCGTTGGTGTCAGTGGGAGGAATAGTGCCCCATCGTTGGTGTCAGTGGAAGGAATAGTGCCCCATCATTGGTGTCAGTGGGAGGAATAGTGACCCATCGTTGGTATCAGTGGGAGGAATAGAGCCCCATCATTGGTGTCAGTGGGAAGAATAGAGCCCCATCATTGGTGTCAGTGGGAGGAATAGAGCCCCATCATTGGTGTCAGTGGGAAGAATAGAGCCCCATCATTGGTGTCAGTGGGAAGAATAGAGCCCCATCATTGGTATCAGTGGGAGGAATAGTGCCCCATCATTGGTGTCAGTGGGAGGAATAGTGCCCCATCATTGGTGTCAGAGGGAAGAATATAGTGCCCCATCATTGGTGTCAGTGGGAAGAATAGAGCCCCATCATTGGTGTCAGTGGGAGGAATAGTGCCCCATCATTTGTGTCAGTGGGAGGAATAGTGCCCCATCATTGGTGTCAGTGGGAGGAATAGTGCCCCATCATTGGTGTCAGTGGGAGGAATAGTGCCCCATCATTGGTGTCAGTGGGAGGAATAGTGCCCCATCATTGGTGTCAGTGGGAGGAATAGTGCCCCATCATTGGTGTCAGTGGGAAGAATAGTGCCCCATCATTGGTGTCAGTGGGAGGAATAGTGCCCCATCATTGGTGTCAGTGGGAGGAATAGTGTCCCGTCATTGGTGTCAGTGGAGGAATAGTGCCCCATCATTGGTATAAGTGGGAGGAATAGTGCTCCATCATTGGTGTCAGTGGGAGGAATAGTGCCCCGTCATTGGTGTCAGTGGGAGGAATAGTGCCCCATCATTGGTGTCAGTGGGAGGAATAGTGCCCCATCATTGGTGTCAGTGGGAGGAATAGAGCTCCATCATTGGTGTCAGTGGGAGGAATAGTGCTCCATCATTGGTGTCAGTGGGAGGAATAGTGCCCCATCATTGGTGTCAGTGGGAGGAATAGTGCCCCATCATTGGTGTCAGTGGGAAGAATAGTGCCAGATGTGACCTAGATCCATAGGGAATGACGTTAAATGGACTGTAGTGCGTTTTCTGCAAACTGGAAAACGCTCTGAAATCCACAGAAGCGGGAACCTCGGGTTCAGAGGATTACAAGCACAGCCATGGTGAACTCTTCCAGGAAATCATGGCTGCCATTGTGAGATGTAATCCATCGGAAGGATCGTATCTGTGAGAATTATGTTTTGTTTTATCTTTTTTGATCAACTTTTTATTTTTTTAAAAAGAAAACAATTTTTTGCATTTCAGAAGTTCCTGGCCAGGGAAAAACACATGAGCCGGGCCGCCTTCTCTCACACCTTGTTACAAGATATTGAGGAGTGGGGAAGAGAAGCCGTGATTGGATTCTGGGAATGTCTCTGTGCGCTACAGGAAGATCGTCATCATCCGAATTTATTGGCCGTTCTGGAAGAAATCAGCCTGACAGGTAATTTGTGTCTGCAACAACAATGGTGACCAGGGGCGGACTGACCATTCGAGCATTTGGGCACTGCCCAAGGGCCTGGGGTCAGTAGGGAGCCCCATGAAATGCCCCTGGTACCTTTTTATAGGCTTTTTTGGGTGGGCTTTGAGTGTGGGCGAGGACACAGGGGGCCCATGATCCCCTATTGCCTGGGGGCCCCATCACTTGTCAGTCCACCCCTGATGGTGACAGTCCCGGGACACAGTGGTGGCATTATGGCTGGAGGGAGGAATCGCTTCGAACAGCGAGGTGGGGGGGGGAGGGGATACTGGACATTAGACATGTGCAAAGGCGAACTGACAACTCATGGGGCCCCGGGCAATAGGGGATCATGGGGCCCCTGTGTCCTTGCCCAAACTCAAAAAAGCCTATGAAAAAGGTACCAGGGGCATCTCATGGGGCCCCCTACTGACCCCAGGCCCTCGGGCACTGCCCGAGTTTCCAAATGGTCAGTCTGCCCTTGGACACGTGTGTTACGAATCGAAATTCGGACAAATTTTTTGCTATTCAGAAACTTAGATGTATCCAAACTTTTGAATTACAGTGGGGATCAAAAGTTTGGGCACCCCAGCTAAAAATTTGCATTAATGTGCATAAAGAAGCCAAGGAAAGATGGAAAAATCTCCAAAAGGCATCAAATTACAGATTAGACATTCTTATAATATGTCAACAAAAGTTAGATTTTATTTCCATCATTTACACTTTCAAAATAACAGAAAAAAAAAAAAAAAGTGAGTTAATATCTTGTACTGCCCCCTTTGGCAAGTATCACAGCTTGTAAACGCTTTTTGTAGCCAGCCAAGAGTCTTTCAATTCTTGTTTGAGGTATCTTTGCCCATTCTTCCTTACAAAAGTCTTCCAGTTCTTTGAGATTTCTGGGCTGTCTGTCACGCACGGCTCTTTGAAGGTCTATCCATAGATTTTCAATTCTGTTGAGGTCAGGAGATTGTGAAGGCCATGGCAAAACCTTCAGTTTACGCCTCTTGATGTAATCCCCCGTGGATTTCGAGGTGTGTTTCGGATCATTATCCATTTGTAGAAGCCATCCTCTCTTTAACTTCAGCTTTTTCACAGATGGCATCAAGTTACCATCCAAAATTTGCTGAAATTTTATTGAATCCATTTTTCCTTCTACTCGTGAGATGTTCCCTGTGCCACTGGCTGCAACACAACCCCAAAGCATGATTGATCCAACCCCATGCTTAACAGTTGGACAGAGGTTCTTTTCATTCAATTCTGTGCCCCTTCTTCTCCAAACGTACCTTTGCTCATTCCGGCCAAAAAGTTCAATTTTAACCTCATCGGTCCACAGAACTTGTTTCCAAAATGCATCAGGCTTGTCTATATGTTCATTTGCAAAGTTCAAACGATGATTTTTGTGGTGAGGACGTAGAAGAGGTTTTCTTCTGATGACTCTTCCATGAAGACCATATTTGTACAAGTATCTCTGTATAGTGGAATAGTGTACCACAACTCCAGTGTCTGCCAGATCTTTCTGGAGGGATCATGCAGTCAAACGTGGGTTTTGAATTGTTTTTCTCACAATCCTGCGAGCTGTTCTGTCTGATATTTTTCTTGATCTTCCAGATCTTGCTTTAACTTCCACTGTTCCTGATGACTGCCATTTCTTAATTACATTCCGAACAGAGGATATTGACATCTGAAAACGCTTTGCTATCTTCTTATAGCCTTCTCCAGCTTTGTGAGCGTCAACTATTTCAGTTTCAGTTTTCTAGACAACTGCTTAGAAGAACCCATGGTGCTGATTGTTGGGGCAAGGTCAGATGAGTCTGGGCATTTAAAACCTTTGAGATTGACATCACCTGGTCTTCCCAGACGATGATTGAGAACAATCCATGACACTGGCAGGTCTCAGCTTGGCAAAGGGGGCAGTGCATGCTATAAATTCTGCAGGGTGCCCAAACTTTTGCAGACGCCATTTTTTTGTTTTCTGTTATTTTGAAAGTGTAAATGATGGAAATCAAATCTAACTTTTGTTGACATATTATAAGAATGTCTAATCTGTAATTTGATGCCTTTTGGAGATTTTTCCATCTTTCCTTGGCTTCTTTATGCACATTAATACAAATTTTTAGCTGGGGTGCCCAAACTTTCGATCCCCACTGTACAATAGCAATGAATTTAAACGAATATGAAGGATTGAAATGAAATTCAAATCGAATTTGAAAACGGAATTGAGTTTGAAATCGAATTTGAAAACAAGAATAGAATAGAATAAAATAAAATAAAATAGAAAATGAAGGAATAGAATAGAAAAAATTCAGGGAAATACACAGCGGCATGTTTCCCAAGTAAAACACACAGTTAACCCTTTGATGGCCCCAGATGTTAACCCCTTCCTGCCCAGTGTCTTTAGCACAGTGTCAGTGCTTTTTATTAGCACTGATCACTGTATTGGTGTCATTGGGGATGTCAGTGACACCAAGTCAGTTCCCCTCCCCAGTGTGAGAATGCCCGCCGCAGTTCCGCTATAAGTCGCTGATCGCCATTACTAGTATAAAAAATAAAAAAAAATCCCAGTATCTATACCGCCATTTTTAGGCGCTATAACTTTTACGTAAACCAATTAATTTACACGTATTGGGATTTTTTTTTTTGCAAAGACACGGAGCAGAATACATTTTTTTCATAGATTTATGATGAAATGAGATTTTTTCATTTTTTGACTGTGCATGTTTAACAGCAAAAAAGTCAAAAATATATATTTTTTTTTTCAAAAATTTTTGGTCTATTTTTGTTTATAACGCAAAAAATAACAAGGCACAGGGGATCAAATACCACCGAAAGAAATCTCCATTTGTGGGAAAAAAAGAACATACATTTGATTTGGGTGCAGCGTTGCATGACCGCACAATTGTCAGTTAAAGTAACGCAGCGCTGTGACTCAAAAAAATGGCCTGGTCAGGAAGGGGGAGGGGGGGAATCCTCTGGAGGGCAGGGGTTAATCTCTTGTAATAAAAGATATAAATAACATTCAATAAAGCAATCTCAAAACAGTGCTCAGGTGCTGCGAAGATGATTCTTCTAAATAAAAAAATAAACACCAACAAAAGTGCTAAACCCCCCCCCCCCCAAAAAAAAAGTTCAAGGTCATAACTAGATGCTCCGTCTGGTGGTGGAGCCCAGATTTCGGAAAATTGCTTCTTACCAGAACGCAGGTCAAACAGCACTTGAGTAGATCAGGATATTGCACCCAAAATGACAGCTACTCGGCTGGTGTGCAGGGCAAAAGTCACTCAAAGGTAATATATATATATATATACAGGTGAAACTTGAAAAATTAGAATATGGTGCAAAAGTTCATTGATTTCAGTGCAGCAACTTAAAAGGTGAAACTAATACATGAGATAGACTCAATCCATGCAAAGCAAGATAGTTCAAGCCGTGATTTGTCATCATGGTGATGATTATGGCTTACAGCTCATGAAAACCCCAAATCCACAATCTCAGAAAATGAGAATATTGTGAAAAGGTGGAATAATCTCGGCTCAAAGTGTCCCACTCTAATCAGCTAATTAAGCCATAACACCTGCAAAGGGTTCCTGAGCCTTTAAATGGTCTCTCAGTCTGGTTCAGTAGGAATCACAATCATGGGAAAGACTGCTGACCTGACACCATCACTGACACCCTCCATAAGGAGAGAAAGCCTCAAAAGGGAATTGCAGAAGAAGTTGGATGTTCCCAAAGTGCTGTATCAAAGCACATTAATAGAAAGTTATGTGGAAGGGAAAAGTGTGGAAGAAAAAGGTGCACAAGCAGCAGGGGATGACCGCAGCCTGGAGAGGATTGTCAGGAAAAGGCCATTCAAAAGTGTTGGGGACTTTCACAAGGAGTGGACTGAGGCTGGAGTCAGTGCATCAAGAGCCACCACACACAGACGGATCCTGGACATGGGCTTCAAATGTCATATTCCTCTTGTCAAGCCGCTCCTGAACAGCAAACAACGTCAGAAGCGTCTTACCTGGGCTAAAGAAAAACAGACCTGGTCTGCTGCTCAGTGGTCCAAAGTCCTCTTTTCTGATGAGAGCAACTTTTGCATGTCATTTGGAAACCAAGGACCCCGATGGAGGAAGATGGAGGAAGAATGGAGAGGCACAAGGACCCCGAGTATGGAGGAAGAATGGAGAGGCCCAAGGACCCCGAGTATGGAGGAGGAATGGAGAGGCCCAAGGACCCCGAGTATGGAGGAGGAATGGAGAGGCCCAAGGACCCCGAGTATGGAGGAAGAATGGAGAGGCCCAAGGACCCCGAGTATGGAGGAGGAGGAATGGAGAGGCCCAAGGACCCCGAGTATGGAGGAGGAATGGAGAGGCCCAAGGACCCCGAGTATGGAGGAAGAATGGAGAGGCACAAGGACCCCGAGTATGGAGGAAGAATGGAGAGGCCCAAGGACCCCGAGTATGGAGGGAAGAAAGAGAGAGGCCCAAGGACCCCGAGTATGGAGGAAGAATGGAGGAGGAGGCCCAAGGACCCCGAGTATGGAGGAAGAATGGAGAGGCCCAAGTCCCCGAGTGTGGAGGAAGAATGGAGAGGCCCAAGGACCCCGAGTATGGAGGAAGAATGGAGAGGCACAAGGACCCCGAGTATGGAGGAAGAATGGAGAGGCCCAAGGACCCCGAGTATGGAGGAAGAATGGAGAGGCACACACTGCAAGATGCTTGAAGTCCAGTGTGAAGTTTCCACAGTCTGTGTTGATTTGGGGAGCCATGTCATCTGCTGGTGTTGGTCCACTGTGCTTCATTAAGTCCAGGGTCAGCGCAGCCGTCTACCAGGAGATTTTGGAGCACTTCATGCTTCCTTCCGCAGACGAGCTTTATGGGGATGCTGACTTCATTATCCAGCAGGACTTGGCTCCGCCCACACTGCCAAAAGCACCAAGACCTGGTTCAATGACCGTGGGATTACTGTGCTTGATTGGCCAGCAAACTCGCCTGACCTGAACCCCATAGAGAATCTATGGGGCATTGCCAAGAGAAAGATGAGAGACATGAGACCGAACAATGCAGAAGAGCTGAAGGCCACTATTGAAGCATCCTGGTCTTCCATAACACCTCAGCAGTGCCACAGGCTGATAGCTTCCATGCCACGCCGCATTGAGGCAGTAATTGCTGCAAAAGTGGCCCAAACAAAGTACTGAGTACATATGCAGCTTCTACTTTTCAGAGGTCCGATATTGTTCTATGTACAATTCGTGTTTTATTGATTGCATGGAATATTCTCATTTTCTGAGATTGTGGATTTGGGGTTTTCATGAGCTGTAAGCCATAATCATTTTTCGAGTTTCACCTGTGCATATATATATATATATAAAAAAAACACTTCCATAGTGCAAAACCGCAAAGCATAAATGTCACTCAAAGGTTTTTTATATATATATAGTAAAAAAGAAAACAAAACACTTTCATAGTGTAAAACCCCAAAGCATAATCTATTAAAAAGGTAAGAGACATTCTAAGAGATGAAAACAGGCTTGACAAACCATACAGACTTCCCATGTATGGCATTCCTATGGCTTTCTGCAAGTCAGACATCGATCCCTGTCCAATCGCAATCTGCACCTGTGATGCTGTCACCGCCACAAGCTCCACCCGACGCGTTTCGTCCGTGGGGGGCTGAAGGTTTTTTTTTATTCACTATGTAAATTGTTTTATGAAATGCAGACTGTCATCTTTTAAATTCATCAATATGTGAGTCTGCCTCCAATGGATGTGATCTGGATATAGCTTTTATTTCTTGATTTTTCGATAGGTGAGGCTCTGGTGGATCAGATTCTGCTGGATGAGTATGGTCACTCGCTGACTCCGGAGCTGAGAGGTAATTTTATTTAAAGATTATTATTATACAGGATTATAGAGCGCCAACAGTTTACAAAATAAAGGGAGACAGTACAGTTACAACTAGTGGTGCACCGAAATGAAACTGAAACTGAAAATTCAGGATGCACTTGGCCGAAAACTGAAATGGACGATTTTTAAAAATTAAATATGTATTTTTTGGAAATGTTGGCTCTTGCCCTCCAAAAGCTCCGTGTAACGGAACCGAACCCCGACTGCACTTGGGTATTTCTGTTAGGAGACTGCTTCCCCGTCCGAACACCGACCACAGACCATACAAGACTAGACGCCACCAGTCTTGAAGTAAAACCAGGAAGTAGACCAGTTTATTTTATCACAGATACAAGATATATACACTCATGGAACAATCCCCCCTCCCTGCATAATGACACAGGGCGGGGCAAACTACCTTTTAGTAACGAGACACACCAACAGACAGTCCCATCAGGAGGGAGGCTGCTGCAGACACCCCCCCACCAAGCCAATACACAAACACCCCATAATAGTTTGCTCCCAAGCAAGACACACAATAGAACAATGGGATGCAACCACATGGCATTAAACAATCCACAACCCCCTACCCCAATATTAGGACAGATCACCCTGTACATCTAACAGGCACAGGGTGACATACACATAGTATGTATATGGGGAGCTGAGACGGGTCTCCCCAGTTCTCCAAAGTGAGCTGTGTTCCATGGGCCCCCACCCAAAGTGACTCCCGTCACACTCCGCTGCCTCCCACTGCTAAATAGGGCTGGGCCACTCGATGACATCTCGATGACATCACTTTGGTTTCCAGATTCTGAAAAGTCCCATGCCCGCATACTCTCACAACCACCGGCCAGGGTTGTGGGGAAGAGGCCCTTGTTCTCATCAACATGGGAACAAGGTGCTTTGCGGGGAGCCCGTCTACCCCAAAGCACCTACCCCATGTTGAGGGCATGTGGCCTGGCATGGTTCAGGAGTGGGGGCCCTCGCTCGTCCTCCCCTTTCTAGCCTGCCAGATAGCATGCTTGGATACGGGCCTGCTATGGATTTTGGGGAGACCCCCACACCATTTTTTTTAAAGTGTGGCATGGGATTCCCCTTAAAATCCATACCAGACCTAAAAGGGCATGGTGTGGTTTTGGGAGGACCCCCAATGCAGTTTTTTTTTTCGGACATTTTATTCCTTGGTGTACATCCATCTTTAAGCTGGGAACCCTGCTAAATGCTGATAACTCACTTTTGCCAGTCCACTCCTTAACAGCCAATTATTACTAAGGATTATGGCGGCCACCCGCCCCAAAAATTTGTGTTAGAACCTGATTTGCCATTTCGCATCAGAGCAGCTGAAAAACTAATTTGGGAATTCACAGTGAAAATTGCACTGCACGTGTGTGAACCCAGGCTAAGCGCGTAGGTCTGTATACTACTGTTATCAATTCGTTAAAATTTGATGTATTTGTAGTACGTTCCCAAAGATCCATGATCAAAATACGGCATTACGTTTTAAACGGACTAAACATTACATTGCTAATTTCTACTGTAACCCGAGTCATAACATATTTCCATTCTATTCCCAGATATTCAGGAAAAGCACAAACATCATCTGATGATGAGAAGACTGAGACTCTAGTGGAGCATAGACCCCCAGGAACTACCCTGGAACCACAAAGATTCCTCATCAATGAGCGTTATGTGAACCTGATTGTAGTCTCCACTGATCAGTTCCGGCAGCATCCCCAGAATGAGATAATACAGACCGGGGTAAAACATGAGGAATGCTTGAAGGAAACACAGACTGGACTGGAATATATTTCCCCCAATAGGCTGTTCCGATGGAGCCACCAGTCACAATGTGTACCACATGCAGTAATGGTGAGCGGAGTGCCAGGAATAGGGAAGACCACACTGATGCAGAAGTTTGTCTATGACTGGGTGACCGGAAAACACTACCAGAGATTTGCCTTTCTCTTCTTCTTCAGAATTCGGGACCTTAATAGACGGGGAGAGGTCAGCTTGGAGGAGATGATTCTTCAACAATATCCACATCTGGAGGGTCAGATTGGAGATATTTTACTAGAGCCAGAGAGACTTCTCTTTATATTTGATAGTTTAGATGAAAGTATTTACCAAATAGATTTCAGATCAAGTACATTGTTCAAACCAAACCAAAGAACACATTTTGGTGAGATTGTGGTCAGTTTGGTGAGGCAGAGTCTTCTTAAGGGTTGCTCTGTACTGATGACCAGCCGCCCAACCAGACTGGGATCAGTTAATACCGATGTTTTCCAGAGAATAGTGGAGATCATGGGAATTCTCCATGAAGACAGACGGACCTTCTTCAATAACTTCTTTGGAAATGAGGAATGGTCAGAGAAGGCTTTTCATTATGTGCAGGAGAATGACACGCTGTACACTTTCTGTTATATCCCAGCATACTGCTGGATCATCTGTACAGTGTTATCAATGTGCTTCAAAGCCCAACCAACAATCACCGATCAGCTGATGACATCATTACCCAAAACAGTGACACAACTCTTTGTGACTTTTGTCTCCAACATTCTGGCCAATCACAGCCAGAATACAGATGGTGCTCACACTGCCCGAGAACTGCTGACATCTATGGGGCGGATGGCAGAACATGGCGTCATGAATCACATGATTGTATTTGATGAGCGTCATCTGGAGTCATTCAGTGTGAGAAATGATAAACATCTCTTTTCATCTTTCCTGATGGAATCTGGTCAGCCCCCTGATGTGGATTACACTTTCTTACATCTCACTCTTCAGGAGTTCTTTGCTGCTTTAGTCCATTTTATCGACTATAATGCTGACAGATTACAGGAAACACTTGATGAGGCTGAATCTTACAAAGACGGCCGTGCCAAGATATTCCTCCGTTTCCTCTGCGGTTTTCTCAGACTCTTCTACTAGATCCATGTTGAAGCCTCATGTGGGAGAATTCTCTAATCAGGCTGCCAGACATGTAATCACCTGGATCCAGAAGAAGATTGTAGAAAAACTGAAACCTGAACAATTCATTGAAGACAAGAGAGATCTTCTTAATGTATTACACTGTCTCCATGAGAGCAGGAATAAGGCTCTGGTGTCACAATGTATTGGATCAAACGATGTTGATCTTTCTGGTGTCCCCCTCACCCCTTTGGACTGCTCTGTTCTGGCCTTTATCCTTCAATCCTGCAGAAAGATAGAAGAAGTAAAAACTAAATTCATGTCATATTCAGAGTGAAGGATTGAAGAAATTTCATACTGGCTCTACACAACATCAATAGTTTGAGGTAAGAATTACCTATGTATCTGTCAGGGCTCCAGGTATGACCAGAGGTGTGTGGACTGACACAGGGAAACGTAGGCTTCAGATATAGTATAAACAATATAATTTATTTAAGACTAAACAATACATAAACGCAGTGCAAGACTAAACATAAACACAGTGCAAACAAACCAAACCAAAACCCCCAACAGATAACAAAAAGAACAATACTAAGCGTAGTCGGGCAGGCCGGGTTGGTAGCAAACGGGCAGGCAAGGTACAAAGGAGCAGGCAGAGCGTAGTCAGACGGGCCGGGTCAGGAATAATCAGGCAGACAAGGTACCAAAGGAGCAGACTGGAGAGTGGTCAGGAATAGCAGAGGTCAGAACAAGCGGAGTTCAATCAGAGTCAGGGATCAAGCAGGATCAGACAGGAAGCAGACAGGATGCAGGTACAGGGGCTCTTGGGAAACATACACCAAGGCCCTGATTGCAAGTCTGGCCATTCCTTATATGCACCTCCTGCAATCAGCCTCAGGTGTTTTGGCTGACTGCAGGAGTGAGCCTCTGGTTGCTGAGAGCACCCGCTGGCCAGTCCTGGTACTGCAACCCACAAGGCAGGTGAGTCCCACCACTATTGGCGAGTCCATTCCTGACAGTATCATATTTATGTGTTAAGAGAGTGGGCGGGTGGGAGTGATGTCATCTCCGGGTACAGCAGCAGTAGGCGTGGCATGCGTTCAGAGCATGTGTGCTCCTTCTTCAGGCCATAGAGGGGTCATATATGGGCAAATGATAGTGCCCAGCCAACTCATGGAGAGACCCAACTGTTATGATAGGTTAATACAAAAAACAGATCAAGTCTCCCAATATCAACTAATTGAACTAACTGGTCTTAAATTTAAATAAATAAAGAAAATAAAATAAAGTACAATAAACATAAAAGAAAGATATTTCTTAATAAGATATAGAAGAAAGTTTATTTACTAGCCATCGTATGATATGTCTGGACTTTTTTCCTCTTAGTGCACCGATTTTCCTCTTTTTTTTCATCACTTGGAGGTCACATCTTCTAGTACGTTTTACTATCACAGGTGGTAGGTCTCACATGTATTGAGGATGTGGTTTTGAGAAGGCCCACAGAACATAAATTGAATTTTTTTTTAATTTTCTTGTTCAATAATATTGTCAAGAGCTTACAGCGCTCTTTTTCTATGTCAGCTGCTGTTCTCTTTCCAGCATCCTGCTTTTGGCTGCGATACATTGGTTCTGTCTCTCTGTCCACCTACAAGGTGACTGATGTGGTCAGTATCTGGGTGGAGACCAAACCTGATTTAAGCCAGCCAAGCCTGCAGTCTTGTGATAGCGTTTGTAACACATTCTCCAAGCTCCCTGTTTGTCCGACCTGCTCAGCTTGTTTGGTTTTCTTCGCTGACGTCCTCGGATCTGATATTGAATACACTCAGAACTCAGCCCGCCCTGAACCCGGACTGTCACTGACCTCTCTGCCTGTCCGCTAACAGTATCTGTTTGCTGGGCTCAGTTCGCACCTGCCCCAGTGTGGCATTCAGGCACTTTAACATTATGTATAAGTCCTGGGGCAACCGAGTACCGGTAGGCCCGCTTGCCTTATGGGACAAGGGGATGCTATAGGTGAAGAACACAGAAGCCAGCTATAGTGCCTGACCACCTGCGCTAGCGATATTTATTTATTGAAGGTTTTCAGTATAAAATGAAAAAAAAACGGAGAGGTACACTCAGAAACATTTATACATACATGTGCAGACAGGGGAGGACTGACCATTTTGAAACTCGGGCACTGACAAAGGGCCGGGGGTCAGTAGGGGGCCCCATGAGATGCCTCTGGTACCTTTTTCATAGGCTTTTTTGAGTTTGGGCAAGGACACAGGAGCCCCATGATCCCCTATTGCCCGGGGGCCCATGAGTTGTCAGTCCGCCCCTGTGTGCAGATCATGGGTTTTTGCCAATACCAAGTTTGTTATAATTACAAATAGAGTACATGCATCTTTAGACTATTGGACAACACACAGTATCGTATGAAAATGGACATTTTCAACCCTCCCGAAACCTAGACCTTGTACAGAGGTGGGAGCAGTTGGAGGACAGCATTGTCCACAGTGTTGCTGATAAGTTTTTTTTTTTTTTTTAACTGGAATGAATCAGACCGGGACACCACTGAATGTATGCTTTTTCCTATGAACGTTAATTTGGAGCAGGGGAAATGTGGCATTTTCAGAATTTTAGGGACCTTTCGTGAAATTGGCCTGAACCTGGGCATATTCGCTAATCCGTAATCACTAACAAAGGCGATTCCAGCTTAACACTGTCTGCTGAAACGATTGTAGCACCCTCCTAGATAGGCTGCTAGGTCTGATGAGGCAAATTTAGTTGTTTTACCTCCTGTATTCAGTTGAGCCTTGTGATTGCATTGGGCTTCTTTTGGTTCTACAGGCTGCAGGTTTGGATTTACATGTAGCACCCACTACTGCTAGATAGGATCTTTAGTTAGAGGCTTGTTAGAAGCGTGGGATAAGTCAGCCTGGGAGTGAGGTACTTTGTTCACCTCAGGACAGGCAGGGAGGCTCCCACCCTTTCGGAAACTTCTGTCACTTTCTGGAAAAGGGGCAGAGGAGGGGAGGAGGTCCAGGTTTCCATTTGTAGGGGAACTTGGCCAATCCCCAGGCAGGAGGCCAGGCATGGTGGTCAAGGAAAACCCTTAAATATGCCAAATCCTGTGCAGCAGGGGAGTTGGGTGAAAGATGGACTGAAGGAAGATGCTGGAGAAAGGGGCCTGGGAGGGGCCCCAGGGAAGGGAGCCTACCTACAGGCTGATTTCTGGAAAGAAGGCTCTCCACTGTGCCAAGTCTCCTAGGGAGGACAATCCTGTCAGCAGGAAAGGAGCCAGCCCAGCGTAAGGCCTGAAAGTAGCTACAACCCACCAAGCCGACAAGACAGTATGAGTACTTCTACACCCCCATGGACCAGATAGAAGGAAAGGGCAGTCAGGTGCAAAACCCAACTAGTTCTCATCCTCAGGACAAGCGGAGCTCCACTCAAAAGGGGACGTTCCGCTTTAAGCCTTTGTTCCCCGCTCCCCATTAAGGATTTGCACCTTTGGGGAGTGGGGGGGAGTGGGTACCCGAATTTGACAAGTACCCGCTCCCACTTCCACTGTGATCGCCTAGTTGATCGGAAGCGGAAGTTGTCCTCCCTTCTCATAGTCTTCTGGGACACGTGACAGGTCCCAGAAGACTACAGGGCCATTCACAAAGCGCAGTGCTTCTCGTGCATGCGCAGTGTGGGCACCCGGCTGTGAAGCTGCAAGCTGTATGAATATTTATGAAGCTCCAGCCAATCCCTGGGGAGGTGTGCCCAGGTGGTGG